CCTGGCTGCCACTGCCCCAGGTCTGGCTGCTCCCGTGCTGGCTGTTGATGCTCTGGTTCTGGCTGCTGCTGCTCTGGGGCCTGGCCGTTGCTGTTCCGGGCCTGGCTGCCATGGCCTTGTGCCAGGCCACCCTAGGCCTGGCCGCCGCTGTTCCAACATTCTGTCCTTTTTTTTTTTTTTTAAACGCATTTATGTTGCAATGTTGGTTGGTGAGTCGAGTTCTGACTTAGTCTTTGATTTTTCAAGAACTTCTTTGTATTCTTTCTTAAGTAATTTTACTATCTTTTGCTCTCACTTGATTTCTTCACATTGAGAACTTCTTTGGTTTCTTCCTTCTTGCCCTGGGAGCTCAGCAGGTTGGCCTGTGGCACCCCTTTGTTCTCCGCAGGCTCCTGCGCTGCTTCAACCTGTTGCCTGGGACAGCGCCACCCAGGAAGCAGCCCCCGGCCTTGGCTCCATTGCCCGTGCTCAGAGGTCGAAGGCTCAGGGGCACCCACCCCCCCAGGGGCCCCGTCGCCTGGCTCCTTGCTGGTGCCCGGTTAGCTGGCGTCCGGCAGGGGCTCCTGCTCCCTGCCGCGTTCCCCCAGCCTGGAGCTTTTTTTCTCCTTCCTGCTAGGGGAGTCCAGCATCAGAGTCAACAGACTGTCCTCTGCGTGCACTTTGCGCGAGTCCCGGGGGCCTGGCCTTTCGCCTCTCTCCCCAGACTCCACCTCACAGCCCCGTCTCGCTCTGCCTGAGCTTGGGTCCCCAGGGATTGGCCCAGAACTGGGGTTCGGAGCAGTCCGGACTGAGGCCCAGCGCCGCCGAAGGCTTTGTTTCTTCCGGCTAGGGTAACCCAGCATCAGAGTCAACATTCAGTCCTCTGCGGGCGCATTGCGCGCGACTTCGGGGGCCCTGCTTTTCGCCGCTTTTCCGCCTCACAGCCCCGTCTCCCCCTGCCCGAGCCTGGGTCCCCAGGGTCTAGCCCATAACTGAGGCTCAGCGCTGCCGGATCGGGGGGCTCTGCGCTGCTGGTTCGGGGGTTCAGCCCAGGCTGGGGGTTTTATTTCCTTCCTGCTAGGGAACGCCAGGCAGCACCCATCCCTTTCCTCCTCTCCGGTTGCGACCTCTTCGTGCGCGCGTGCGGGCGGGCGCGCAGCATGTCTCCGTACCTTAGGCTTTTTTTCAGCTCCTCTGATTTTCCTTCTGGTTTTCTCTTTCCTTCTTGTTGTAGAATTTTCAGTCATTCAACTACCTGTAGCTCTGGGCAATGTCCACTCTACGTTTTAGTTGTATTCCATTGAAATTGTTGTGTGCTGCCGCGGTTAGATGTCTACCCGAGCAGCCATCTTGGATCTCGTCCTATTTTTTATTTTTTAAAATATATTTTTATTGATTTCAAAGAGAGAGAGAAAGTCCACTGGGTTCTTTCTCTTAAAGGGTTTTATCTGTTTGGTACAGGCAGGAATTTTAAGGGAGGTCCAAGCAAATGGTCTCAATAAAATATTAATAAGCTTTCCATGCATATATTTTCAGGGTTGTGCTAAGATAGGAGGTTATTAATTGTTCCAGCTGAGCCAGCCATGTTGTTGCTCTGGTTTTGCTGCTTTTCTGGGCCTGGAGCTGAAATATAACTGAGGCCTAGATGTTATCTCTAGTTGGATCAAAACTCTTTCTCTGTTGCCAACCAGACCTGAGGCTTTTCAGAACCTCATTGTCCTGAGGGCTTAAGGCTTAAGAGAATGGTCATGCAAGGGAGAAGGGGGCAGGTGACTCAGGGTGCTGAATTAGGTCATATTGAATCAGTTTTCTCAGTTGCCCCATTGTCAAGGAATTTTCCTGGCTTCTTACCATCCTGCTGCCCCAGTAGTGGATCTAAAATGCTATCAGGCCCGGAGCAGCAGCAGCCAGGCTGGGAGAGGCCAGGCTCAGAGCAGCTGGGCCCAGAGCAGCCGGGTCGTGAGCATCCAGGCCCAGAGCAGCAGCAGCCAAGCCTGGAGCGGCCAGGCCCGGAGCGGCCGGGCCCAGTGCAGCAGCGCCTAGAGCAGCCGGGTCGGGCCCAGAGCAGCTGGGCCTGGAGCAGCAGCAGCCAGGCCCAGAGCAGCCAGGCCAGGAGCCACCAGGCCCGGAGCAGCAGCATCCAGGCCAGGAGCGACAGTGGCCACACCCGGAGCAGCTGGTTGTGGAACAGACCAGATCAACAGAGGCCAGGCCAGGAGTAGCCAGTCCTGGAACAGCTCGCTCCTTGCCTGCCCATGCCCCAGGGCTGCTTCTCAGGCATGGCTGGAAATTTTGGGGGAACCTGAGGGTCTGCTGAATCAAGTGATCAAGGCTTAGATCTGGATGTGTTGAGTTGTTGTAGCGCTGGGGTGTTGATCTGTGAGTGCCTTGTGTGGGGTCTGGATGAGGTTGGTTGATCTATTTGGAAGTATCTTTTGTGTGAAGTGTATCCTTGGGCATGTGGAGGTATTATTGATTTGAGAAAATACTAAGTAATTGATTTACTACCTGAAAAATTTAAAGTTCTGAAAGTTTAAGGTCTCTTGCCAAAAAGAGGTTTTAAAGCTAACACCTTAATTTCAATGGAGAAAAGGGAAAACAAACCCTTCCCACCCAGAACAAGTAATCCAATTCCAGCCAGCAGGTATCTTTAAACAATGTGACCATTTACATTTGAATGGTTATACCTTTTGATAGCCTAAGGTCAAGTTTCCATGTAAACAAGTTTGCTTCTCAGTTCCCAGGGCAGAAAAAACAAGGTTTAAAATTATTAGATTTTAAAATTTATTCTTAAAAATATAAAAGTGTATTAATTAAAAAAAACAAGGAAATTAAAAAACCTTATGAACAATATTAACTGTTGATTATAATAGAATCAGAGATACAGGAGGGGAGTGGACTGACAATTCTTGGGGAAAAGGGGAGTGGTGGATGCGGGAAGAGACTGAATATAGGCTGTGCACCTATGGATGAGGACAATAGGGGGTGGGGAAAGGGCAGAGGGTGGGGTGGGAACCTGGTGGAGGGGGGAAGAAATGAGTAACCTTTGTAATAATATGAACAATAAAAGATTGATTTAAAAAAATAAAATAAAATGCTATCAGAATCCTCAAAGTATTTGTACAGTGTAGGATCCAATCAATACAGATAATGAAAATGCTAGCAGTAGAGCACACTTGGGAAGCTGAAACTGGTTGAACAGTCTAGTAGAGGGCAGGTTGTTGGACAGCATTCTAGCCATATTTTTACTTTTTCTTTTAGTTAAGTGGGGGCTAAACTATATTAATACTTTTCATACCTCTTTCTAAGTTCTTCTAGCTGGGCTAATAACCAAGTGAATAAAGACAGAGTGACAGAAGAAAATCAAAGTTTAATACATGCACCTGGGGAATTCACATAGATATAATAAATCCATAAAATTTCCCAAAGACAATGAGGCAACATTAGGTATATAAGACATTTTGAACAAATGAGAAAAGGAGAGGAACAGGATATTAGATTTCAAAAGTGAAAATGGGGGTTTTCAGGTAGTTGAGGAAGAGCAAAATACATATGGCAAAAATGTCCTTGCTAGGTAACTCAGAAACATTCGGACACAGAGGGTATCTAGCTACCAGGTCCCTGCCTGAAGCTCTCTTGTTAATCATACTTAATTCAAATTAGGCTCAGGGGAACACCCTAAATTCTACTTCTTGAATCAGGTTCTTTGAATTTCTTGGGTAGGTTCTTTCTAAGCCTTATACCAGATTTTAACATTGGTAAAGCGGGACACCACTGACTGGGTGGAGAGCAGGGGTGTTCTTGATTAAAAGTTTGGTCTATATAGAGCAACAAAAATTTTCATAGAACGCAAAAATAGTATTGTAATAATATTTTTTTAAATTTCAACGTAAGTACAATTTACAAATATAATAAATAAATAAAATTATGTATAGTCGTAAGTGTCACTTTGAAGACCGGCACTAGACTTTTTGCCGCCACTATAAAATATAAATAATATGAGTACTGTCTGCTAAATTCAAGAAAATTTATGTATTTATGAAATAAATAAATTACTTACTAAATTATCTGAATAGCTGATTTGTAATGACATCACTTGTTTAACTAGCTTACTAGCATGCAGTATGATGTGTATTGCCTGAGAGACAGTTACAAAATGTTTTCATCGTTGCCAATCCCCAAAAATGCTATTGTTCATTAAGTCCAAACGTGGTGGTCGAATTCTAACAACTGATCAACAATGAGAACTTTGATAAGCAGTTCTCAACAATTATTTGTTATTATTAAAGTTTAACATTATAAAATTAACAAAAATAATATAAAACTCATATCATGGCTAAATAGCCACATGGCCGCTAAAAACCGTACATTCCTTTCCTGTTCTCCAGCCGTTCCCTAGCTTATCGTGCATTCTTTCCAAAATTCAGGACTTTTTAAAAACGCCGCGGGACGCGGGACAAATTGTTAAAAATCGGGACTGTCCCGTCTGGTCACCTTAACCAAAGCAGCTTCAGGGTGGCAGAACTTTGGTCCTTTCCGTCACATAGAGAAGCTAACTGAAGATGTAGTTATTAAGTATAAGCTCTCTGCCAAGAAACAAAGTCTGTTTATGTCATCATTTTATCATCCCCCTAGTTTTTCCTAGCTCTAAATTCACCCAAAGTTCTGCATTCAGAATCCTCAGGGGCTCCCGAAAGTCCCTGAAACTAAGCATCTTTAGCCTCAACTGATCTGCTTATCTACTCACAGCACTGGGGTGACTCAAAGGGTTAACAGACAGTGTGCTGCTGCAGAGTGGCAGGGAGAGAAGCCAATAGAATGTCTAGCAGGCTGACCATTGGTGGGCTGGGCCGGGAAAGGGCGTGGCCAAAGGGAGCCAGAGGAAGTCCAGGGGGTGAGAGGGCCGGGAGGCTAGAAATTCCTAGGAGGTGGTCCGGAGAGCTCGTGAGCACGCACCCTTTCTCCCTGTTCTCCTTTTTTCCTAAGTGTTGGTAGCTGCGGGGACGGCCCGGGGTTGGTATATGGCCACGGAATTACGATGTCCGGACTCCATGCCCTGTCTCAACCAACAAGTAAACTCTGCCTCTACCCCAAGCCCTGAGCCGCAGCGACCCGGCGACCTGATCCCAGATAATGTGGTGGGAAACAACACCCCCAAGGCCAAACCGGCTCTCCTCTCCAGCCCTGCCCAGTCCAGTGTATTGGGGGAGGGGAGCCCTCAGGCCTGCAGCAGCGCCAGCCTCAACCTGGAGCCCAAGTGTGGCAGTGGCAACTATGACGCATTGGCCGGCGACTCCCTCCTAAGGGACAGCCAACTCTCCTCGCAGATTGGGGCTCAGCTTAAGCTGCTGCCTATGAATGAGCAGATCCGGGAGCTGCAGACCATCATCAGGGACAAGTGAGCCAAGAGCTGAAGGGGAGAGGGAGTTGGAGGGTCTCTCTGGAGGTGGGCGGGAATTCGGAGGAAAAGGGCTCAGGGCTCATTTTCTGGGCCTGGGGAAACTGGCTTGTGGAGCTCTGGGCGGGGCTTTTCCGTTGAAGGGCTCTCATGACCCCTACCCTCTTCTTCCTAGTCCCAGTGTTTGACCTCGCTTTCTGTTTCCCGAGGAAGGAAACCTTGTAGGTAGCCTCCTGCTTTCTCTTTGTCTCTTCTGAGCAATGAGGAACCCATTTCAGGCAGGTAAACGCGCCTATCCTATTTGTCCGGTGCCTATCTACGTGGTAAATCTATAAAACTACCTGAAGTTACGCGCTACCTGCCATCACCTCAGGCTCACAATAGAAATAAAACCATTTCAGGGAAATTATGTTGTGCTCAACAAGGCCATCTGTCCCTTTGGGATTTGCTATTACAGATGCCATTCTGTCTTTTAGTCTTGGGGTTAAGGTATACTTGGTCACGTGCAAACTTGTAATCCAACTCTTATCAGGATTGTTTTACTGTAAACTTCTAGAATATCAACTGTTTCCTGTACAATTAATGGAGGAAAAGGAGTCTAAAGGAGCCTTTGGTGCTCTTCCTAATCTCATAAGCTAAGGTAGTAAAAACTTCATGTTAAATGCTACTTTGAAATCTCAAAACTTATGTTGTAGATGGGGTTTCTCAAGGGTCATATGCACCATGATGGAACTATAGCTGGCTTCTATATTGGCAGAACTTTAGACGAGTATGTACTGCATGTCTGAAAATTAATTTTTTGGTGGATGCTTTGATCTTTTAAAATGACTACTGAGTTAGGACATCACTCCCTAAATCAAACTAGTAACCCTTTCTTAATACTATTGTAATAGGCTTCTAATTTGTTTCCCTGATCCAGTTTTTCTCTTTTCCACACACATCCACACATTACAGAGCAATCAACCTTATTAATATCACACTTTGATTAGATAACTGCCCAACTCAGCGGTTCTCTTTGGCTTCTGAGGGCCTACCATATAGGTAGGCTTCTACCTTCACCTGAAATTCTTTCTACTCCTCTGCATGTTCAAATTCTATCTGTTCTTCAAGGTTAAATCCAGCATTAAATGTCCACCTCTGCCAAGAAGCTTTCCTTTAATCATTCTTCCTCTGCCATTTTCCCTGACCTTTTAAATTCACCTACTATTTTGTATATTGCTATTTGTGTATTGATTTTTATCTCACCTTTTAGATTTTAAGCTCCTCGAGGACCAAAAAAAATGTATCTTTTACATATTTGGACTCCAACTATGCCTTGTAAATAATAGATACTTAATTACTAAAGGTTCTTTATAAAGCTCTTAAAAATTGTAGTTATAAAACTATACTATTTGTTTTTAATGAACCCATATTTAAAACCTGTGATCATGTGATTTAATAGATTTAAAATCTAGGACACATAAACTTGGTAGTTGTGGTGGGGGAAACTGAAATAAAATTAACTGTAAAACAAAGAAAATAGGATGATGATTCTTGTTTCTACAGAGCAAGTGTTGCTGGCCTTGAGTTTTGACTCCCTCTACATCTCTGGATGGGCTTAGGGGCTTTAGTAAACCTTCCAAAATTATCTGGGAAATATTACTTCTATGTGCATTTTTTAAAATAAAATATTTATTGATATATAATTCACATTCCATATCATACACTGTTTAAAGTGTACAATTCAGTGACTTTCTATAATATTCATGGCTGTGCAACCATCACACAATCAATTTTAGAACATTTTCATCACTCTGACAAGAAACCTCATACTCATGAGCATTCAGCATCCATTTCTTCCCAATCCACCTGAAGCCCTAGACTACTTTATGACTATTGATTTGCCTATTCTGGACATTTCATACAAGTGGAATCATACAACATGTGATGTTTTATGACTCGTTTTTTTTCCCATTTAGCATAATGTTTTCAAGGATTATTCATGTTGTGTCAGTATCCTATTCCTTTTTTGGCTGAATGATATTCCATGTTGTGGATATATAACAATTTTTAAAAATATATTTATTTTTTACAGAGAGGAAGGGAGATATAGAGTTAGAAACATCAATGCGAGAGAAACATCAATCAGCTGTCTCCTGCACACCCTCTACTAGGGGTTGTGCCCACAACCAAGGTACATGCCCTTGACCGGAATCGAACCTGGGACCTTTCAGTCTGCAGGCTGACCCTCTATCCACTGAGCCGAACCGGTTTTGGCTATAACAATTTTTTAATCCATTCATTAAGTGATGGACATTTGGGTGGTTTCCACGCTTTGGTTTTCATGAATAACCCTGCTATGAACTTTTGCACATGTGTCTTTTTTTATGTGAAAGGGTTCCTTAGATTGCATTAGATTTTTACATGAGAATGTAAGAGTAAAGCATTGCCATAGAACTTGGAGAGGGCATGACATTCAGCATTCATATATGACAATATCAGTACCTGATTTTATTGCATTACTTAGAAAAGCCAAGGTAGTATAGTAAACCTGGGTGTAAGGGAAACATTTTTTTCCCTGAGTTTGGAAGGGGACATCAGTATCCATCCATAGTGATCTTAGGCAAGATGTTTAGCATCTCTGTGCTTCAACTTTATCATTTGTAAAATGAGGATGTTGGCAGTGTTTCATGGGATTCCTGGAAGGCTAAAAGAGGATATTTTACCATCTGAATATTTGTTATAAACAGTGAAGAGCTGTGCACATTTAAGGCATTTCAAGATTTCACATTTGGATTTGTGCATGGTTCTGATTGCATCCATAAGTGCTGGTTTCTTGAGCTTCCAGGAGATAGTAAAATAAATTAAATTGTACATACAACTCACATTTTTATTTAAAAAACACGCTGAGAGATTCTAGATAATTTTTATCATGCTATGATATAGTACGGAAAGACACACTATGATTTTTTATAATTAATTGATGCTTAGTTGCTTAGGCTGCAGATAGTGTTTTAGTTTTGTTTTTGTTAAATCTGTTAATAGAGACCTCTTTTGCTTTTATCTTCAAAATTGGCACCCCACCCCCAACATTAAAAAGACCTGCTTCATCCCCTTTAATTTGTGTAGTGTATTTGTTTGTGTAGCGTACCTCTGGTAAGAGGAACTTTGGGTGTCGGTACACTTGAAGTTGTCCCAGAGGCTCCTTACACTGTCTTCATATTTTTGGATTCTTTTTCTTTTTGTTTTTCTTGATGGGTATTTTTTGCTTCCTCATATTCAGATCTTTGGTTTGATTCTTGGGGTCCTCTAGTCTACTGTTGGATCTCTGTATATTATTCTTTATTTCAGACAGTGTATGCTTAATTTCTGACTGGTCGTTTTCCATTTTTTGGCATTCTCATTAAGGTCCTTGAAGGTCTCACTAGGTTCCTTAGCTAAGTTTCTCGGCGGTTTCTAGAAGATTCTTGAGTACCCTTATAACTGTGGTTTTGAACTCTATATCCAGTAGTTTTCTATCCTCCAATTATTTCATTTGTGACTTGTTTCTTTATCTCTGCAATTTGGCTGCTTCCCTGTGTTGATGGAGTGGCTTTGGTAGGTGAGCAGTAGGGCCCAGTGTCTCAGCCTCCCCAATCACCTGAGGTGGACACTCTTGGTGCACCCCTTTGTGGGCTGGGTGCACAGTCTTGTAATTAAGCCTTGATTGCTATTGGTACGTTGGTAGGAATTGATCTCCAGGCCAATTGGCTGTGAGGATTAGCTGTGTGTATAATGGAAGAACTGCTGTGCTGGAGATACCCTAATGGGGTAGGACTTGCTTCAGGACTTGGGGTGGGGCTTTGGTGCCCACTGAGCCTGCTTCTTGAGTGTGTCACTTAAGTATGTGAGGAGTTGAAATCTGGTGTCCTCTCACAGTGACCTCTAGGTACACTGGCTCCTGGATCTCCAAGGAGTTGCAAGTCAGCTGCTGTCTGAGGCCACCCAGCAGGAGCTACAGCAAAATCTGCAGATTTCTTCTCTTTGCTTGGGGTTTGGAAATTTTGGTGCTGTCTGACCCAGGTGCAATTTGTTAGGTTAAGCTGCGCAAGGGCAGGCCATTTGTATGCAAAAGCTGCTCCGCACAGTTTGGAAGGGTTTGTGACTTGGGTGGGGTAGGGAAATACTAGGGCGTGGCAAACAGCGATGGCTGCCAGTCAGCCATCTCTTCATCTCTGAGGTTCCACGTCCCGCATCCTACATCCCATGGCAGTAAACAATGATTCTTGCATGCACCTCTGTGAGAAATCCACCCTCACTTTTTGGCCCAATGCTAGACGGTCCAGTTTCTCCCCTTAGGAGCCTGGTTCTCCAGAGTCTCACCAGAAACTGGAGTTCCAGAGCAGTTGGGAGCTTGTGTCTCCCTTCCAATTGAAAAAAAAAACACACAAAAAAACAGCGCACCCAGTCACCAGCCCGATTCGTGCGCACCTCCTTACCTCTGCTTTTCTGAGCCTCTGCACCTCCTATACAGTCTCAGTGAGCTTCTTTCTTTCCTTCTAGTTGTAGAACTTCTACTCCACCAGCTTTCTTGTGGGTCTGGGTGATAGTCGTTTTGTCTTTTAGTTGTAGTATTGGTGGGGCTGTGAGAGGCAGCATGTACAGGTGTAAACCTTATGTCGCCATCTTGGTTGTCCTAAAAGGTATATTCTAATATATCTAATCTGTTTTGATTTCCTGTTTCATTAATACCCATAAGTGATAGAGCTCTATTATTCTAATAAACCCAATGCCATTTGTATCAGGAATATTTCATTAATTTTTCATGTCAGAGAAAGTGAATACAAGAAAAAAATTGCTTATGTAAACATATTATCTTAGTATACCCTTAATGTGCATATGCATTTGAAAAAAGTCATAATTAATGGTATACTGAGATAATAAATGTTTGCATATGCCATTTTGATGCTGTGTTAGAGGATGTTTTAGGTATGCTATGTATAGGCAGATGGAGATTTTTAAATACATAAACTGCATCTCAGTCTGTTCAGTTGAGTCATTTAACTTGTATGGGAGAAGGAGAAATAATACTCAGCTTTTATGTCCAGGAAAAAATTACCAGCCTTTTAACATTTTATTTTTTGACTGGTTAACAGCTTGTGGGTAGGTGCAGTTTGGGATTATTATTACTTGGATACCTCAGGGTATGCAAGGATTGACCAGAAAAAAAAAATGGACAGGAAAATGTCAGAAAGTTTAGGGAACAAATTATTTGATTGAAAATAGGCAAAAGGAACAAATTGTCAATAATTTGAGAAAGATATCTTAGAAATTCGGTTATGCATTCTTTTTTTAAAAATATATTTTATTGATTTTTTACAGAGAGGAAGGGAGAGGGAGAGAGAGTTAGAAACACCGATGAGAAACATCAACCAGCTGCCTCTTGCACACCCCCTACTGGGGATGTGCCCGCAACCAACGTACATGCCCTTGACTGGAATCAAACCTGGGACCTTTCAGTCCGCAGACCGAAGCTCTACCACTGAGCCAAACCTGTTTCGTCCCCTTACGCATTCTTGAAAGCAATGGCAATTGTATAGGGTCTATTTGTTTGTACCATTCTCATTCCAAAAAGGATTAGAGATAAAGTAGATAGGTTCTTTATCTTGGTAATATGGCAAGGTGGATGGAAGGTGAGAACCTGATTTTCGTAACTACAAAGTTTTTCTCTTGTGTGGGTTTGCTTCCATCTTGTTCATCTGAATAACATATTTGAGCAAATCTTTCCAATTCCTAACTCTAATGTTGATATCAAATAAAATATTCTTAAGTATACTTATAAAATCACTCCATTTAAGTTCCTGTATCCTAGTGAAAAAATAACTTGCCTTAATAATGTCTGTACATGTAAACTTTTAAGCTTCTATTATGTAACTAAAGGCCCAAATAAAAGGCCAGGGTCCCTATACCTAGCCTGTGATCAGGAACATCTTCTGCCCTCTCACCAGACCCCAGTTCCCTGTGGTTCCGTTTGCCATCCACCGATCAGAGCCTGCGGGTTGGGAGGAAGGGATCAAAAGGTCTGCCTTCTGCCTGCCCACCACTCCCACCCTGCCACCACCCACTGTAGTTCCCTATGGTTCCCCATTGGCCATACATCAATCTGAGCCTGTGGGTTGGGGGGAGGGACCAAGAAGTGGTCAATTCACCTCTTAGCAACTAGTTGATCTGTCGTTCTTATTGTTAGGCCGTTATGGTTGCTGGCCTTTTATTATATAGGATAGGTCATAATATCAGTGTTATTATATGTGATGAGTAATATTTTACTTTAAAGCTCTAATCTAGACTAAAACTTTCACTATTTTTTTTTTTTTTTTAGGACAGCGAGTAGAGGGGACTTCATGTTTTCTGCGGATCGTTTGGTAGGTGGAAATTTTCTATTTTCATTTCATTGTTGTTCCTAGTGATATAACCATAGTAGGCCAAAGGTTTTTGTTTTTTTTTAAATATATTTTATTGATTTTGTACAGAGAGGAAGGGAGAGAGATAGAGAGTTAGAAACATCGGTGAGAGTCATCGATCAGCTGCCTCTTGCACACCCCCTACTGGGGATATGCCCGCAACCAAGATACATGCCCTTGACCGGAATAGAACCCGGGACCTTTCAGTCCCCAAGCTGACGCTCTATCCATTGAGCCAAACCGGTTTCGGCCAAAGGTTTTTTTTTTTTTTTTTTTAATTATTTATAGCAATCTGAGGGTGAAAGAGATTGTACAAATTAACCATCATCTTGCTAGACTTCTGAAGTGTTGTTTTTACTGTTGCATTAAAACTATGTCTCAATCCCTTTCACCTCAAGGCATTTTCCATAAAAATCATTTTTACCGAAACCAGTTTGGCTCAGTGGATAGAGTGTCGGCCTGTGGACTGAAGGGTCCCGGGTTCGATTCCAGTCAAGGGCATGTACCTCAGTAGTGGGCACATCCCTGGTTGTGGGTGTGCAGGAGGCAGCTGATCGATGTTTCTAGCTCCCTATCCCTCTCCCTCCCTATCTGTAAAAAAAATCAATAAAATATATTTTTAAAAAATGATTTTCTATAGCTCTTATGTTCTCCTACCTTTAAAATTGATCTTGGTAACTTCCTCATAAGTAACCCTTCCTCATAAGTAATGCCTCATCTTAGGGCAGTAAAGTGAAGTACATTAAAAGAAAACCAAAGATGTAAGGAGACCTAGTAGCTAGTTACCCTGTGATATCCATCTAATGCAAATAAATTAATAACTGTTTTAGTTTACATGGGAGGAATTTATTTAGCCTCTTCTTTTTTGTACTATCCTCGCATATGAAATATTAAGTTGGACTATCTACGATTTCCTCAGGGACTTTCTGTTAAGGGATGACCAAGCTCAATTCTGTTCAGCTAGTGTGATGGAGAGGATCTCAAACCAGATTGTGTTGTCTTCAGGGTAAATACTGTGTTTCCTTCTTGTGTTTCTCAGTGATTACAATGAAGTTGACACATTTTCTGCTGTGGTTATTAATATTCAACCATTCCTGAAATATATATTGAACTGTAAGTCAGGCACTGTGCGAGGCTGTGTTGCTGGGGGAGGAGATTCAGTAGTAAAGAATACAAGGCTTCTCTCCAGCTAGACTTCAGTTGGTTATTCAGGATGATTTTTCTATATTTTAATTGTAATTCCAGTTTGGTCCTGGGAGGAGGTCAGTGTAGCTTCCACTTAATTCTCCACCATCCTGGAATCTCTCAGCAGTAAAGGACACAGACACATGGTCCCTGCTCTCATAGAGTTTGCAATCTAAATATTATTGTCAGTATTTCATTTGGGAAAGAGATAAAAGTAGTTTATTAATTTTCATTTACATTTTTCCTAGGAAAATCTTTATTTCAAAAGAATGTAGACAACTATTTACTTTTGGCTTTAAAGATTCTTAGTTCAGAGGCAACTTCTGTTTACAATTATTTGAGTTTGTAAGGGCAGTAACAACCCTTAAATTTCATCAAGATAAATGTAATTGACATTCCTGAAGTGACAGGTCATTATGTCATTATGCTTTTATCAAACTAAAGGAACAGGTCCAAGGAGAAAGCAACATGTGCCAATGGCTGCTGTGGGGAAAACGAAGGTCCTGGTATTCATTGGTAGAAAATGCTTTCTCTTTCCTCCCTCCCTCTCTCCCTCCCTCTCTCCCTCCTTCCCTCCCTCCTTCCCTCCCTCCCTCTCTCCCTCCCTTTCTTTCTTCTTTCCTTCTTCCTTCCTTCCCTCTTTCCTTCTCTACTTCCCTCCCTTCCTTCCTTCCCTTTTTCCCTTTTTTCTTTCTTATTTTCTTATATCCTTTTTCTACAGAAAATAGGAGCTACGTTTGTGGTTATTATAAATCACATACCAGGAGAAATATGAAAACATATTCAAAGTCACTAATTATCCAAGAGATGCAAAACAAAACAACAGTGAGGTACCATCTCACACCTGTCAGAATGATTATCATCAACAAATTAACAAAGGACAAGTGCTGGAGAGGGTGTGGAGAAAAAGGAACCCTCATGCACTGCTGGTAGGAATGCAGACTGGTGCAGCTGCTGTGGAGAACAGTATGGAGTTTCCTGAAACAGTTAAAAATGGAACTTCCATTTGACCCAATAAGCAATCGAATATAAGCATAACCAATGGACGCAAGACACGGGTGGTGGTGGTGGTGGTATGAGGGCATGTGCTGGGGGTTGCGGAGGCCAGGGCTAAGTCAATGGGGGATAAAAAAGACATATATACTATTTGTAATACATTAAACAATAAAATAACATTTAAAAAGAAGTAAGAAATGGTATACCTTGAAAATGATTTCAGTTTTTCTCTCTGTGCAGAATATATTCAAACACTGCTGCAGTTAAATATTTGACCCTTTTTTCTCCCTGCGATCTACAGTAGTAATATGTTTCATGTTGATATTTACTGCTGTGTTGCTTACAATTATCTGAAAGAGAAGTTGGGGTGCTTCATGGGCTGGGAAAAGTTTAGTTATGTCAGAACACAGGTCTACTTAAGCAAGTTTATTCTATCATAATATATAAAAACTCTGGGTGATAATGATCAGTAATGACCAAGGCTCGTCCAACCGGAAATCAGTCCTGCAGTTAGTACAGACTGCTTCCGCTGCAGGCGTGGTGCCCCAGCACTGACTGCTGATGGGGCTACGAATCAGGACCAGAGAGAGGCCTGAAGAGAGAAGCAGGGACTGATCCATTACCTCTGTGGCAGCTTTTGATCAGTGTTTGCTTCTCCCTTTTTCTCCCAATTTGGCCAGCAGACTGCCTCCATTTCTCTTCTGATCAGCCCCACCTTTTGATCAGGCCAGGTGGATAGGCCCCGAGACGCTGAGTGGCAAAGGAACCAACCAATCAGAACCAAATGTGGATGCTGTGATGAACTAATGGCTGCCTAGGAGGCAGAGCTTTTGATGCTGATTGTCATAGAAACCGACCAATCAGAACCAAGTTGGCCAGCAGAGGAGGGAAGTTGGGGGTGAGATCAGGGCTTCAGGATAGGGTAATTGAGGGCAACCAGGCTGGGAGAGGAGGGTAATTGGTGATGAGATTAGGCTGGCATGGGAGGAACATTGGGGTGAGATCATGCCAGCAGGGGTGGGCAGTTGGGGGCAAGATCAGGCTGGTAGGGGAGGGCAGTGGGAGGTGAGATCAGGACAGCAAGTGAGGTCAGTTGGGGGTGATCAGGCTGGCAGGCAGAGGCAGTTAGGGGTGATCAGGCAGGCAGGTAGGTGAGCAGTTAGGAGCCAGCACTCCCAGATTTCTTAAACTGGCATTCGGACATCCTCCAAGATGCACCCAATTGGAGACAGTGCAAGCTGGGCCTCTAGTTCTATGTAGTAAAAGCCCAGCAACTGAACTGCAGAATGACCAGCCGGCCCCACCCCACAGTGGGCCCTCCACCCTGATCAGGGGTGAGGCTGGTTGGCAAGCCAACCGTAGCCCTTTGCCCCACCTGGTCCTGACCCCAACACCCCTAAATGACTGTCTGGCTCCCTGGTGCATGTACATTTAGTGAAAGAACAAGGAAATAATTATCAGTCTCTTCTGTTCCAACCAGAGTCTTTAGAGGGCTCTTCTAATACTGTAGCCTAGGTGTGGAATTCTCCCTCTATGGCCTGCTTCTCCAGAAGATCTTCCAAGTTATTAAAAAAATTCGACCAAAGCATTAACGGGATGGCTGCTCTTTGCTGAGGAATATAGAGAGGCTGGGTGGGGATTTTATGAAAGTGTGGTGCCTTGCAGATTAGGTGAGCTTTCAATCTCTTTTTAAAAGGGGCAACGTAGAGGACCCTCAGGCTTCCAGGAGCAATAGTGAAGTGTAGGCACATTCAAAAACAGGAAAACTTTTAAACAAACAGACATGAAGATCATATCGGGAAACTGAGGGCAGAGCCCCAGGAAGAATGCAAAAATCATTCAAGGGCCATCATCCATCTTGATATATGTTTGCAAATAACACATATACAACTTTATCTAATGGCATGTGAAATGCAAAACAGTTTTGTTATGGGTTTCTTTTGGCCATACTTAAAGTATAATTAGATTCAACTAGAGGGAAGCTAGAGCTTCCAGCATTAGACCCTATGGCCAGATCTGCCCGATGGGCCCCCATTGGAGTGGGCCCCCCAGACCCTACCTGTGCATAATTTTATGCACTGGTCCTCTATACTAATTAAAGGGTAATATGCAAATTTGTTAGGATGCCCTCACACAACGGAACAGTAGGCTGCATGGGGCAACCAGGCCAGCAGTGGAGACTGTGAGTGGTGACCAAATGAATGAACAGCAAGCTGTGTGGGACGACCAGGCTGGCAAGGGGCTTATTGAAGGGTTACTGAACGACCGAGCAGCAGGGGCAACCAGGCAAACGGGTGGGGGGGGGGAGGAGAGGTTAATGAGGTGTGACCAAACGACCGAACAGCAGGCTGTGTGGGATGACCAGGCAGCAGAGGGGACAGTGGAGGCAACCAGTGTGGAAGGGGGGCAGTGAGGGGACTACGAGGACAGCAGAGGGGCCAGTTGGGGTCAACCAGGCTGGTGGGGGGGCGGTCATTAAGGGGCGACCAGGCCGGCAGAGGGGGCAGTTAGGGGTGACCAGGCTGGCAGGAGAAGCAGTTGGGGGCAACCAGGCCAGCGGGGCGGGGGGGGGGCAGTAAGGGGTGACCAGGCCAGTCTGGGTGCCAGTTTGGTGTGACTAGGCCGGCTGTGGGTGCAGTTATGGGTGATCAGGCCAGCAGAGGTCGAAGTTAGGGGCAATCATGCAGGCAGACAGGTGAGCAGTTAGAAGCCAGTGGTCCCAGAAGGGGATGTCAGACTGCTGGTTTATGTCCAATCCCCAGGACATCCCTTGAGAGGTCTTGGATTGGAGATGGTGCAGGCTAGACTGAGGGACCCCCCCCTCCAGTTCACAAATTTCATGCACTGAGCCTCTAATATATATATATATATATATATATATATATATATATATATATATATATATATTTACACACACACATATATGGCTAAGTTGACTCACACATGTGAGATAAATATAAAGCTCTCACTGGTGCCTATCGAACACATGTGTTCCATCTGTCATTGTTGATCATGAATTTGGCTTACACTTCTATTATAAAGGGTGAATAGCAGTATTAACATATTTCCTGTAATTAATTTTCTTTCAATGTGCATGAATTTGTGCACTGGGCCACTAGTTTGCTCTTAAGAAACATTAACCTCCACAGAAGTTGATGGTTAGAAGTGAGTGAGCACACACACAGTATTTATGAGGTTCCCGGACATTCTGTGTGGTGCTACAGACTGACAAAGTGCTGGCCATTTAGCATTGATACTTTTATTGGCAACAATAAGGTGTTGTGTTGTGACAGCACAGCATGGGCCTGCATTTCTACTAGCTGTTCCTGATTCTTAACCAATAGTGTAATATTGATTGTAGAAAATGTGGTAGTAGACTCCAGGTGCTTGTTATAGGAAGAAATATCATATCTGGTTTTTGGAGGCTGTTTCTTATAGTTCTGATGGATTCTTTCCTCTATTCCACACGTTAAGATCACTAGGAGCCTTTATTGTTTAGCTGACAAGCCCCGATGCATCCAACCGCTTCCTACCACTCACTGGCTTAATGTAGGGAGCGGCTATAGGGTTAAGCCTTGGACTGGCCTGTTGGCAAAGCCACAAACAAGTCCCAGCTTAGAGGGCACACAAGAACATTGTAACTTATGTTGGCCACTACCTTATTTATTTTTTTTCTAACTATAAAATAAAGCCTCAGCTTGCTGGCTGGATCTCTCTCTATGCCGCCCCCCGCCAGGATCACCGACTGGCACAGTTTAATCCTATCCACTCATTTATTTCTTAAGAAATTTCAGGATTTCTTTGGGTTCTGGTGGGCCTAGTTAAAAAACAATCTAATTGAACAATTTCAGAATACTGAACAAGGCAAAGACGTTCTCTTTTTAAAAAAAAAAATATATTTTATTGATTTTGTACAGAGAGGAAGGGAGAGAGATAGAAAGCTAGAAACATCGATGAGAGAGAGTCATCGATCAGCTGCCTCTTGCACACCCCCTACTGGGGATATGCCCGCAACCAAGGTACATGCCCTTGACCGGAATCGAACCCAGGTCCCTTCAGTCCCCAAGCCGACGCTCTATCCATTGAGCCAAACCAGTCTCGGCAAAGACGTTCTCTCTTGGCACTATTTCCAGAGTAACGAGTTTATTACTTCCAAGGCTGTCTGCCATAACTCTTCTCACTTTCTGTAATTTTGCGTCTCTTTTAAAATAGCTTGAACTGACTGAATGAGAATCATAAGGCATACTTGAGCCTTTTTATTTTTGGGCAATCAGGTGCCTAACCAGGGTTGAATACCTACTAAGAAGCAGCCTGGCATTTGGATCTATCTCTATATCAGATACAATGGGGGACCCCTTTCTTCCTCCGTAAGCTAATTCCTTGCCTACTGTGTTACTGAATTTTGCCTAGTGTTCAGTTCTGGATGCTAACAGGTAACAGGAAATTGTTAGCAGATTTTCAACTTATTCTTTCTTTTACTTTCTAGATCAGACTTGTTGTGGAAGAGGGATTGAATCAGCTGCCTTATAAAGAATGCACAGTGACCACTCCAACGGGTAATCACAGCTGTTACTGTAATATTTTTCTCATAAAAATTCTGAGTTAGAATTGGGGGGAAATGAAAAGAAAACAGCCTGCATAATTTAGTATGCAGAATGTGGAGTCCAAGTGGAGCTATTCTTTTAAACAACTTAATAAACCTAGAGACATTTATTGAAGAAATTTATGTGGCTGATTTCTTGTTACTGCCTTGTTTGTCAATTCAAGTTAAAGGTTAATAAATATTCTTCAGCATGCAGGTGATACCTTTGATGACAGCTCATTGGGATCAAAGTTAAGAATTGCTGGCAGTTTATCGTTATCTCTTTGGGGAAGCAAATGGATGTACTGGTTTGGCATTGAAACTCCAAATAAAAGGATGAGAAGTAAAAAAGAAAAAGAAAACAAAAAATGATGAGAATTAGAGAAGGTGCTTTGTGCTACTAAAATAGAAAGCAGCCAAAGATCCTTGTTTCAGGGATTTAAAATTCTGATTTGTTTTTTTAGTAAGTAATGGAAGCTGTTCTATTCAAAGTTTGACACTAATTTGGGAGATGAGCTTGCTGCATAATTGAAACAGATTTAGGATGAGACCAAGAGTTGAACATGTCTTGGTAATGATTTCAGTCTCTTTCTTTTGCTTTTAAAGGCAGAATGGAGGCTCATAAAAGGGATAGAATGAGTAGGCTCTCTGCTGTGGCTCACAGTGGGTGCTGGTTGAATTGATGGTGTTTATAACATTCTTGGAGTGCAGTGATTCTCGAATTCAATTTGAGGAATATTTTTGTGAATATCATGCTATCATATGTCCTATTACCACTTGGCGAAGTCCACCTCCCCCAATTTTCCACACAGGTTTCTTATGAAGAATTAAGAAATAACTAAAAAAAGTTTTGAATCTTCTCATTACTTTCACAGGGAACCTAAGACATTATATAGTGTGCCTGGACCAGGGTTTCTCAGTACCCATCTGCTTTACATCATAGGGATGTTATAGAATAAGTAGGTTTTTCCAATGATGAAAGATACATTCTTTGGATTTATTTTCAACAGGATACAAGTATGAAGGAGTGAAATTTGAGAAGGGAAATTGTGGCGTCAGCATAATGAGAAGCGGTAGGTTCACATATGTGTGATATTGTCCATTTGCATGCATATAAACACTTGCAGTTTCCCAGGAGAGAAGTGAGATTTTATGTCATAATTGAAGCATGCTTTAGCTTAAATCGCAGTGTCTGTGTTTTTTATCCTCATGGTGCATTGTAATCATGGCCTGTGTATTGCTGAGCTTGGCTAATTTTAAACTGCAGAGCATCTTCCCTAGTGGCCTGCCCCAAGGGCAAGCCAGCTGGTAGGTATGTAGACTGGTGCAGCCACTATAGAAAACAATATGGATTTTCCTCCAAAAATTAAAAATTGAACTGCTATTTGACCCAGTGATCTCATTTCCAGGAATATATCCTAAGAGTTCCAAAACACCAATCAGAAATTATATATGCATGCCTATGTTCATAGCAGCACTATTTATAATATATAAGTTCTGGAAACAGCCCACGTGCTCATCAGTAGATGAGTGGATAAAAAACTGTGGTGCATTTACACCATGGAATACAATGGTATAGATATACCACAGCATAAAAAGAAAAAGAAAAAGATCTCTTACCCTTTGAGACAGCATGGAAGGACCTGGAGAGTATTATGCTAAGCAAAATAAGCCAGTCAGAGAAGGACAAGTATCACATGATCTCAATCATATATGGAATCTAATGAATATAATAAAGTGCTGAATAAAATAGAGCCAGACGCATGAATACATGGAACAGACTGTGATGAATCTCAGAGGTAAGGGGGAAGGCAGGGTGGGAAGAGATTAACCAAATAATTTACATGTATATATGCATAGCCCATGGACACAGACAATAGGTAGTTGAAGGCCTGGAATGGGGTGGGAGATGGGTGGAGGGGGACACAGCGGGGAAATGAGGGATATCTGTAATACTCTCAAGAATACAATAAATTAAAAAAAAACACACATACACACACACATCTGTAGTAAAATATACAATGGAATACTATATAGCTGTTAAAAGGAAGCATCTCTTACCCTTTGAGATAGCATGAAGTGACCCAGAGATGATTATGCTAAGCAAAATAAGCCTGTCAGAAAAAGACAAATATCGCATGATCTCACTTATATGTGGAATCTAATGAGCACATTAAACTGATGAATAAAATAGAATCAGAGGCATGAATACATGACACAAGAGTGACAAATCTCAGAGGGAAGGGGAAAAGGGGAAGAGAAGAAATTAGCCTAAGAACTTATATGCATTACTAGTGGCCCAGTGCACAGATTCATGCACATTGAAAGAAAATTAATTAGAAGACATTTTAATGTCACTATTCACCCTTTCTGTATAATAGAAGTATTAAAGGTGAAAGAAAATTAGTAAAATGTATCCTATATAATAAAAGGCTAATATGCAAATTGACCAAATGGCAGAATGACTGGTCACTGTGATGCGCACTGACCACCTGGGGGCAGATGCTCAGTGCAGGAGCTGTCTCCTGGTTGTTGGCATACTCCCGCAGGAGGAACACTGCTAATCCAGAAGCTGGACTCATGGCTGGCCAGTGCAACAGCAGTGTGGGAGTCTCTCCCACCTCTGCTGTAGGTGGGTGTTAAGGAGCAAGGGTCCTGGACTGAGAGAGGGCACAGGGCAGGCTGAGGGACCCCCTCTTCCAGTGCATGAATCTTGTGTACTGAGCCTCTAGTATGAAAATAATATATAAATTGATTAATAAAGAAACAATAAGAACATGATATAACAACAACAAAGGTGATATAAAAACAACATTGATAAAAACAATGACTGATAAAATTGATTAAACCTATTCTAATATCTCCCTGTATACCACATTAAGAGTAAAAACACTTTCAGAGTGCTTGACTAATTTCCCTTGTGATGAAGTATTTACAACTTTAACTTTAATATCACATGTTCTTTGAACTCGAGAGAAAACAACATATAACTGACCATGTCCGAAAACAGGTTCAGGTAAAAACATTTCTACTTTGCCTAGAGTTTGTCCTTGTGATTTATTAACAGTTGCAAATGCTAGCATCACAGGAAACTGTCTTTGAATTAATTTAAATGGGAGGCTAGTGTCAGGTGGGGCCAAATCAATTCTTGGAATCAGAACAACCTCTACTTCCACAGATCCTGCTAATACTTCAGCTTCGATTATGTTAGGTTGCAATCTTGATAATAAATCTAGTACCGTTACAAATACCCCATTTATTCTTAAGAGTATTCAGTAGCATGATGATGGTATCTACTTTCAATTTTAATTTATGACACAGCATTCCTGAAGGAGTAATATTATACTATTAAGAAATTTGATGGGAGTTTAATTTGGGACTGAAAAGATGGTGGCTGGCAGGACAGAGGTGAGGGAGAGGAAGTGAGTGAATGAGGGTATGAGAGGAGAGTGTGTGGATGTGTGGTGCATGTGTGAGTGAGTAAGGGACAGTTAAATCTCGCAGGATCAGCAGGGGTGGGCAGACTGGGCTCTCTTGGATAAGGAGAGACTACCACTGTGGGGGCATCTCCTGGACTGCAGGACTCCGGCACGGAGCCCACGCCATCTTGAAGGGGACAGAGGCCTTTTCTAGGAATTCCTGAGCACCACCATCAGTCAGGATTTTCACACTGCTTGCGACCCAGCAGCCAGTATAGCCAAAATCCTGCTACCCCAGCCGCAGACCCGCAAACCCTGGGACCTCCACCTCCAAAGGTGCACCATTCCCACAGCAGTAAGTGCATCTTCCCTCTCCCCAGTGGCAGAACTCTGGACCCCACATTCGCGCATCTCCAGCTGCATAAACATCCAGGGCACATCACTCCGTAGGCAGCACCTGGGAGACACTGGGAGCCCCCGCTTGTGTGATTCTGTACAGACAAGGGTGTGCTGCCCTGCAGTAGAAATTCTGAATTTCCTCTGCTTGAATAACTGCTTGCAGACACCCTAACTGCATAACTTCAGCTCTAGGGATGCCCACTCTCACCTAGTATTGGAAGTATTAGCCATTGCAATCAGACAAGAAGAAATAATAGGCATCCAAATTGGAAAAGAAGAAGTGAAACTCTCCTTATTCGCAAATGACATGATATTGACATAAAAAACTCTAAAGACTCTGTAAAAAAAACTATTAGACTTAATAAATGAATTTGGTTGCCAAGACTGGTTTGGCTCAGTGGATAGAGCGTCGGCCTGCGGGCTGAAAGGTCTCGGGTTCGATTCCAGTCAAAGGCATGTACCTTGGTTGCGGGCATGTCCCCGGTAGGGGGTGTGCAAGAGGCAGCTAATCGATGATTCTCTCTCATCGATGTTTCTAACTCTATCCCTCTCTCTTCCTCTCTGTAAAATATCAATAAAATATATTTAAAAAAATAAAATAAAATAAATGAATTTGGCAGTTTAGCAGGATACAAAATTAAGGCCAAGAAATCTATGGCATTTCTATACACCAATAATGAACATACAGTAAGAGAGACTAAAAAAACAAACCCATTTGCCACCGCACCAAAAATATTAAAATACCTAGGAATAAACTTAACTAAGGAGGTAAAAAACCTATATGTGAAAAACTACAGGACACTGAAAAAAGAGATAGAGGAAGATATGAGCAGATGGAAGAACATACCATGTGCATGGATTGGTAAAATCAACATCGTTAAAATTTCTGTACCACCCAAAGCAATCTATAGATTCACTGCACTCCCCATTAAAGTACCAATGGCATGTTTCACAGATCTAGAAAGAACTCTCCAAAAATTTATCTGGAATAATAATAATAAAAAAATAGACCCCAAATAACCACAGCAATCCTGAGAAAGAAGAATAAAGTAGAGGGATCTCAATACCAGATTTCAAGCTGTATTACAAAGCCACTATTCTCAAAACAGCCTGGTATTTGGCACAAGAAGAGGCATATAGACCAATAAAATGGAATAGAGAACCCAGATATTGACCCAAACCACTATGCTCAATTAATATTTGACAAAGGAGGCATGAATATACAATGGTGTCAAGACAGTCTCTTCAATAAATGGTGTTGAGAAAATTGGACAGACACATGCAAAAGAATGAAACTAGACCACCAACTTACACCATACACAAAAATAAACTCAAAATGGATAAAGGACATAAATATGAGACAGGAAACCATAAAAATACTAGAGGAATTCACAGGCAGCGAAATCTCAGACATATGTCCAAGCAATTTCTTTACGGAATCCGCTCCTAGAGCAATAGAAGCCAAAGAGAAAATAAACAAATGGGACTACATCAAAATAAAAAGCTTTTGCACAGCAAAAGCAACCATCAACAAAGCTACAAGAAAACCTTTATCAGTGATAATATTTGCAAATGTTATCACTGATAAAGGTTTAATCTTCAACATTTACACGGAACTCATACAACTTAAAAGGAAGATAAATGATCCAATAAAAAAAAAAATGGGCAACCGAGCTAAATAGAAACTTTTTGAAAGAAGACAGAAGGCAAAGAGGCACATGAAAACATGCTCAAAGTCACTAATTATCCAAGAGATGCAAATCAAAATGATAATGCACTACCATCTCACCTGTCAAAATTGCTATCATCAACAAATCAACAAAAGACAAGTGCTGGAGAGGATGTGGAGGGAAAAAAAACCCTTGTGCAATGCTGGTGGGAATGCAGACTGGTGCAACTACTGTGGAGAACAGTATGGCATTTCCTCAAGAAAGTAAAAATGGAACTCCCATTTGATCCAGTAATTCCACTTCTAGGAATATATTCCAAGAAACTAGAAACACCAATCACAAAGAATATATGCACCCCTATGTTCTTAGCAGCACAATTCACCATAACTATGATTTGGAAACAGCTTAAGTGCCCATCAGCAGATGAGTGGATTAGAAAACTATGGTACTTTTACACAATGGAATACTATGCTGCTATAAAAACAAGGAATTCCTACCATTTGCAGTAGCATGGATGGAACTGGAGAGCATTATGCTAAGTGAAATAAGCCACGCAATGAAAGAAAAGTACAATCTGATCTCACTAATTTATTGAAAATAAAGAACATTATAACCTGGTGAACAAAAAGATAGATACAGAGGCAGTAAAGCATTGAACAGACTGTCAAATTAGAGCGGGAAGGCTGGGGAGTGTTGGAGAGGTGGGGAAAGAGATCAACTAAAGGACTTGTATGCATGCCTATGAGTACAACCAATGGACACAAGACACTGGGGTAATGGGATGAGGGCATGTGACAGGGAATAGGGGAGGCTGGGGGAAGGTCAATGGGGAATAAAAGGAGATATATGTACTATTATGTGTGATACTTTAAACAATAAAATGAAATTTAAAAAAAAATCGATGGGAGCCTTATATGTATCGCGCATGCGCACATCAATGTTTATTTTTAAATTGAAAGTGCGCTTCATGTGTATCCGCTGGTTGGTGACACAGTTAGACAAGTGGTCAGTCACTTGGCCTTTTATATATATATATAAATATGCATTGCCCGTTTACACAGACAATAGGATGCTGAAGGCCCGGGGTCGGGTGGGGACCAGGTGGTGGGGAGCAAGCAGGGGGGAAGGTGAAGCATCTGTAATACTTTCAACAATAAAGATTTAACAAATATTTAAATGAGGAGGATGAGAGGATAGGAGGATGCGATAATGCTGTGTTGGAGAAAATAGAACAGCTTGAAGACTTTTGAATGATGGTACAGTTTCAAGCCCACAGAACTTTGCATACTTGGCTGGAGAAATTTTTTTTTTCCTGTTTTTTATTTCTTTTGAGCTGGACTGAATGACCTGTTTAGTAATTTTAGTTTTATATTAGATGAGTATGTGACCATGTAGGCAAAATCACTAACTGTCATTAACTCTAGGTATTTACAGTTTTTACTGATCTAATAAATATTATATTTGGTTTGATTACAACTGATTACCTTTATAAACTAATCTTTGTGCAGTGAAATCACATGCCTGTAATTGGAACCTATATGTCTTACATGGGGATGATTATTTCTATTCAGCAATTTGATTTTTTCCCCCCACAAGACACAATGGAAGCCCCACTTGCTTGCAGTGGAAACAGGTGGACTATTGTTATTTTATTATTATTTTTTTTAAACACCACATATAAACTTGCCCTTTTTTCCTCTGGCTATAACCTTCTATTTGTGAACAACTGAATACTTGAATTAAAGTAGGAGGTTTAAGCTTCCTTGTATTAAGATATTTGGGATAATGTTGTTCAGTCTTTTAATAATGGTAAAGATAATGGATATGGAATTCTCAGTTACAATTTCTTCTGTTTTAGTCCAGCTCCTGCCTTAAGGCAGCAGCGTGGTCCTTGGATGCTTCGTGTATACCAGATGACCATGGGTGATGCATAGACACAGTTGTTTTTAACCTTAAGAGCTACTGGTCAATTTTCATATGTTAGAAACTATTTCTATGTTTAGAGCAGTGATTATAAACTTTCTTCTTAAAGTACATGCAAACAAAATGATTAACTTAAAGAAAAATATTAGGTTAATAATACAAGTAGAATTCTGCTGTAGCCTAAAATCTTGAAGGTAGTATGACAGTGTTTTGGCAAACACTTCCTTAAAAGAATTCAGATTCAGAATAGCTCCATGTTGGTTTGTTTGTTTGTTTGTTTGTTTGTTTATTTATTTATTAAATATATTTTACTTATTTTTTACAGAGAGGAAGAGAGAGGGATAGAGAGTTAGAAACATCAATGAGAGAGAATCATTGATCAGCTGCCTCCTGCACACCCCGCACTGGGGATGTGCCCGCAACCAGGGTACATGCCCCTGATCGGAATCGAACCTGGGACCCTTCAGTCCGGAGGCCGACGCTCTATCCACTGAGCCAAACCGGTTTCGGCAGAATAGCTCCATGTTTAGAAACCAAGTTTGTGGTGTTGGTGTTGATTGTGGTTCTCTAGGGTAGTGTTTACCAAACTTTTGACATGTGTACCCCTTCTATAATTTTCATAACGCTGAGTACCCCTCGTACTCATGAGAATGTAGAATTAGGCGCAGCTAAGCACAGTGCAGTGCATATCCCCACCAAACTCTTCCCACACCCCTGGGGGTATGTGTACCACACTTGGGAAACACTGCTCTGTGGCATGGGAGAGGGAACAAGGCACCATTTTTCCATTAATTGTCAGCAAAACCTTTGCCACTAAAGTCATTGCTGAATGATGTCTCCTAATGCCACCTTGATCTGAAAGGAGATCCTAGGTCTGTTGCCTTCATTCTTCCATAAACCTTTTATATTTTTTAGATGAAAGTAACAAGTTTAGGTGGTTTTAAGGCTCCCTTAAGTAATAAGAGTAAAATGTTCCTGATATTGGAAAAGCTCAGGGAGCAGCTTAACAAAATACTTTTCCCCTCTGTAATCATAGAAAATTTTCAAACCAGCAATAAAACTAACTTATTCTAGTTTCATTGACCTGCATTAAGTATAAAATATAAACATATCAGAAGTAAAGCTGTTAGTTTAAGAAGTATTTCTTCTGTCTTGACAATGTCCTTTTTATGTTAATAACAGTCACAGACACTGCTTTTGCCTATTCTTGGACTTTCACTATAGCTTCCCTAACCTCTTCTTTCCTTTTTTATTATCTTCTTCAAGGTGAGGCAATGGAACAAGGTTTACGAGATTGCTGTCGATCCATACGTATCGGAAAGATCCTGATTCAGAGTGATGAGGAGACACAAAGGGCCAAAGTATATTATGCCAAGTTCCCTCCAGACATTTATAGGAGAAAAGTCCTTCTGATGTACCCAATTCTCAGTGAGTGGCTTGAGTTAAATCTGTAACCTTTGGTTAGAGTTTAAATTCAATTTAGTGCCTACCTTCTGGGTACCATTTATAAGGCAAAAACTGTTTCTAAATGTTTTTTTCTCACTTAGATTTGGAGTTGCCCTGGGCAGTTCACTGGAGAATTTTTATTGAGTAATAAGAGAATATACATTAGTCAAACTTTATTAGTTCCAAAGAGCTTCTTTCTTAAAATGAACACATTGAAGCAACGGATCTAATGAGGCAAAATATATAGAACACAGAAAATATATTGAAATATGTCCCCTCTCTAGCTCAATGAGTTATAGCAATGATTTTCTCAAGGATTTATCATCTCCGGAGGTAAATTTTTTTCTCATTGTATTTTGTTTTCTAAGCTTACTCAGGTCTCCTGGGGTTGGGATAGAGGGTGGATGTTATATTTGATATCTCAAATACTGAATAAAATTTGGACTTGTGCCTTTGAAAACTGTAAAGTGTATGTTTCATATTCATCATTAAAAATAATGAAACTTTGCCTAGTGATGTCTTATGTTAGATTACTAAACTGCCTTTACTTTAAATAAGCATCAAATACATTTTGAGAAAAAAATGTTAAAGTTGACAGTTCATTTGGTTGTCATTTGATTTTAGGCACTGGAAATACTGTAATTGAAGCTGTAAAGGTGCTTATTGAACATGGAGTTCAACCCAGTGTTATCATCCTACTCAGTCTGTTCTCCACTCCTCATGGTAAGTTTATTTTTTAAATTTTTTAAAAATATATTTTTTATTGATTCTTTACAGAGAGGAAGAGAGGGGGAATAGAGAATTAGAAACATCGATGAGAGAGAGTCATCTATCAGCTGCCTCTTGCACACCTCCCACTGGGGATGTGCCCACAACCAAGGTACATGCCCTTGACCAGAATCGAACCCAGGACCTTTCAGTCCGCAGGCCGACGCTGTCCACTAAGCCAAACCGGTTTTGGCTCCTCATGGTAAGTTTAGCATGAGGTAGTAGCTGGGCTCCAGATGGTCGTTGAGTGGGTAAGTATGCATCTGTCCAGCCTCTTGTCCTAATAAAACATTTATTTGCCTCCACATTAAATCTAAATCTAATTTTGGTAGTTAAAACTTGTGTTTCTTATCTGTAAGCCTAGTGATATTATTTTACACCATTCTAATGTTATTCAAATGGAAAAGTATGAACTAACCCCATGGAATGGGATTGTGATTATTTTCCTAGGGGCTCTGTTTGGTAGAGCCTGTAAATAGCCAAAAGGTCTCTATATCTCCTGGTTCCTCATATGAGCCCAAGAACTGCTCCAAATATCAAGAAATTAGAGGTTCTAGATAACCCTGTGGTCTTCCTCAAATAAGCTTTGCAGTGTGAATCAGAGCATAAATTTTTAAAGTTAAACTTCTGCTCAAAAGGCCTCGTGAGAAAACTATATGTTCTCCATTTCTTGAGGAAGGTAAGCCTAATTTAAGATCCTACTTTTTTCCCCCATGCAATCTAGGACAGTTATGAAAGTATCCTAATAATATAATCATAGATGCATATAGAAATATTTCATGTAAGAAAACAATTTGAAAATATGTAAATGACTTACAATAAGGAAATGGTTAAATAAATATATAATGATAATTATATATTATATATTATTTATATAATGATAATTATATAAATAAATATATAATATATTTGATAAATAAATATATAAATGATATAATATTATGAAAATGTTAAATCATGTTTTTACCAATGTACACAGACAACAGGGAGTTGAGAGTATGAGTGGGGGGGATAAGGACACATATGTAACACCTTAATCAAAGAAATTTTTTAAAAATCATGTTTTTGAAAAACAATGACATAAAAAATCCATGTGGTGAATGTGTAAGAGCAGGATATAAAAAAAATAACAGCATTAAAATAGTGTTAAATGTTATTACCAAGTTCTGAGATAACTAATACAAATTATGACTATTATGACTACCAAAATTAGACTTAGATTTAACATGGAACTTAATAAATCTTTCCTCAGCAAGAGAGGCTAGACAGATGTGTAATATTATTTCAATTTTCATTTTAAAATGCAGATACAATGTTAATAGTGGTTATTTTAGGTTGGTAGGATTCTAAGTGATTTATTTTTTAACTTTTATTTTCAAAATGTTCTACAATGAATTTGTATTTGCTTCATAATTGAAGAGAAAGAGAAATATATGACTTCTAGTTAGGGCATTTCCTCATTTCCAAACGTTCCAAGTTTCAGCCAACCCTGAATCGGTTATAGATTATCCATTTTGGGAGGGCTATGTTCAGTAGGCCGTTGATTATTTTGCTGTTTTATAATTTTAAAAATTATCTATAATTCAAATGTTGATGGTGACAAGGGTTAATTTGCTTGGTCATCTTTTTATATATCACAGGTGGCATTGTCAACATTGAGATAACCAAATAATTATTAGGTTGTCTGCTTTTGTAGAAACTTAACTGTGTTAGTTCTAATAGTATACATTACAATATTATACTATTCTTTAACATTACAGATAAAAAAATCATATTCTTTGGCAGCCTTTCGATGGCTTTTTAGTTTGAATGGGATACTAGCTATTCTCTTTCCCTGCTCCCTCCTTCTATTCCTCCCTCCCTCCCCAGCCAGCAAAAGTTAGAATACTAATTTCTTAAAAGCTAGCTTGCTCTGACATAAGTCTTTGCACTTCTTTCACAGTGTTCCAGTTGAGAACCATCAGCTTACATATCATCCTACTTTCAGAAAGAACTATTTTTTCTTTATCCCAGTTGCCTTTAAAACAAGAGAAAACAAAACAAAAGACTCTTCAGGGGGGAAGTTGCTATAATGGAATATATTTTTCAAATCATGGATATGAAATAATTGATTGTAAGAATTTATTAGTGAGTGAGTGAAGGTGTAATCTGACTATTATCAAAGCTTTTCAGATATCAGACATTAAAAACTAAGAGACCAAATCTCACTAGGTACTCAAAAGTCATTGCTCTCAATCCTCTGTCAATATGAGGCCTAATGAATGACTGTAAAATTCCTGAATTTGAACTAATGTTACCAGAAATTCTGCATTAATAATAATTTTCTTCCTTTTATTTTTTTGAAGGTGCCAAATCAATCATTCAAGAGTTCCCAGATATCACAATTTTAACTACTGAAGTTCATCCTGTTGCACCTACACATTTTGGACAGAAATACTTTGGAACTGACTAAGTTGTTAAAGTTAATTATCTTGTGTAATATTATAGTTATATTTTGAGTTTCTATCTGTTTTACTGATTAACTTGAGAACTGGCAGAGAAAATTGTGTTAAAGATGTTTTGTAACTTGGAAGTGGATATAATAAAAAGAAAAGATTTGAGATTTCTTTATTTTATTTGATTCTTTCTTGACTGTCAGCACCATTTTCAACAATGAAACATACACAACTCTTGGAAAATACTTTAATAATACTTTATGCCAATTGCTTATCCCTCAGTACATTGAACTGTTCCCTAATTTATTAACTTCTCTTGCAGCCACAAATAAACTCAAATGGGAATAAGTCCTTTGGCCCAGTATAGTTTGCATTTTGTGTAGTTTGCTTTTAGTTCTAGGGAGTTTTCATTTTTGTAGCTGTTTTCACCTTCCTCTACTAATTAATTTCCATGCTGGTAACTTGGAGAGGATGACAAAAAATTCTTTCTTATATTTTACATTTCCTTAATATTCTCACTCAATTGGCAGACCCAGGATATATATACTAGGGGCCCAGTGCATGAAATTTATGCACTCGGGGGGTGGGGTGTCCCTCAGCCTGACCTGTACCCTCTTGTAGTCAAGGAGCCCTAGGGGAATGTCCAACTGTTGGCTTAGGTCTGCTCCTTCTGGGGAGCAGGCCGAAGCCTGCAGTCGGACATCCTTAGTGCTGCTGCAGAGGCAAGAGAGGCTTCTGCCACTGCCACTGTTGCTCACCAGCCATGAACCTGACTTCTGGCTGAGTGGCGCTTTCCCTGTGAGAGTGCACTGACCACCAGGGGGCAGCTCCTGTGTTGAGCATATGGCCTCTGGTGGTCAGTGTGCATCATAGCGGCCAGTGATTCCCCTGTTTGGTCAATTTGCATATTAGCCTTTTATTATATAGGATATATATATATATATATATATTTTTTTTTTTCAGTCAAGCCATTATATTCTTCCCAATGCATTTCCTATCCTATGTAGTACTGGTAGGGTATTGCAGTGCAAAAATGGTGGGGCATTTCCTGCATTTGTAACTTTAACTTACATAGATCAAACCAAGAATGTCTGGATGCTGACAAGGAAGGGCTAAGTACTGTTAATGCCATCAATGTCCAATAAAGAGGACAACTTTTCTAGTTGTAGGACTTCCGTTCAGCCAGATTTCAGGTGTTTCTGAATGATGGTTGTTTTGTAATTTTGATGTGGTTGTGAGAGCTGGTGAATACCGGCATTTACCCACATTGCCTATTTAATGCTATTTTTGTTATGAATGATTTTAAACCTACCATCTTGCTGTTTATATTTGCCTTCTATTAGGCCCATTTATTTGTCCTTTTTTAAAAATAATTCTTTATTGCTGAAAGTATTACATATGACCCCCATTTTCCCCCATTAACCTCCTCCAGCCCGCCCTTGCCCCCGCTCCTGCCCCAGGCCTTCACCATCCCATTGTCTGTGGTCGTGATAGGCCCATTTGTTTTTTTATTCACTTTTTCTTCTTTTTCTACACTGACTTGGATTGAATAATATTTATCATTCCATTTTATCTCTTAATGGCTTATTAGATATAATGCTTTCTTGGTTTTTTTAGGGTTTACGTATACCTTTAACTTATCATAATCTATTCACATATAATAAAAGAATTTAAACAAAATTCTTCCATCCCCCCAGCCTTGGTGCTACTAAAGAGATGTAAAAGGATGTAAAAGAAAGAAGAAAAAAAGTTATTATTATTTATCCATTTTGGTACTTTTCATTTCTTTGTGTAGATCCAGATTTTCATCAGGTATTATTTTCCTTCTATCCGTATTACTTCCTTTAACATTTCTCATGATGTAGCTCTCCTAGTAATGGAGTCTTTCAGCTTTTATGTCAGAAAAAAGTCTCCATTTCACCTCTATTTGTGAAAGATATTTCACTAGTATAGAATTCTAGGTTGGCAACTATTCTTTCTTTCAGTACTTTGACATGGCTTCACTGCCTTTCTTGTATGTTTTTGATAAGCCTCCTGTTATTTATTTATTTATATTTAATTACTGATAAAGTAGGATTTACATCTATAATTTTGCTATTTTATATGTCTTACATACTTGCTTTATTCCTCCATTACTGCATTCTTTTATATTAATTGAATATTATGTAGTATACCTGTGCAGGGGATCCCAATGACCGCTCCCAGGACTCAATAAGACTCAGAATTCACTATATTTATGGTTATGATTTATTACAGCAAAAAAAAAATGATACAAAGAGAAATCAGCAGAAGGAATTAGGTGCATGCTGCAAAATCTGGAGAGAACCAGGCACAAGCTTCTAAGTGTCCTCTTCCAGTGGAACTGCACAGGATATACTTAATTCTTGTATTTACCAAGTGTAGCAAAAGGTGTGAATTATAGTCTATTCGGGAAGTTCACTTGAGCATAAAATTCCAGAGTTTTTATTGGGGCTTGATCACATAGGCATACTGCCTGCAAAGGATCACTTTAAATTTCATTATTTACACAAACTATCTAGACATTGATCCAGTGTGGTTCAAAGAAGCTCCAAGTGTGCAAAAAACCTTTTATGAGTTAAAACATTCCAAGACCTTAATGTCCAGCAGTTGGATAAGGTCCATTGATGAAAACAGACTCTTCTGGGAATTTGCAAGGTTTGAGCAACTTACACTTTTTAAATCAACTATTTCCTATTCAATTTACCTGCCTGGCTTTTGTCCCAGGCTCTCTGACACGAAAACAATAGTATTTTTCTGAGCACCTACATTTAGTATAGGGTTTATATAACAGCTATAGTCATAATATCAACCTGAGTATATCCAGCATTTGGAGGAGTCAGTACTACATAGGGATAGACATGAAGTAGCAATTAATACATACTATAAAGTAATTATGTATGTCTCCACATTTTGTGTTAATTTACACCTCATCTACAGTTGTTTGTGCTTTATGATAAACTTCAGTAGAACTACAGTAGGATACTTTTCAAAACTCGCAGTTCATGTCTGAAATCACCTGATAGCACCATATGCTTTTTCCTATACATACATACCTATGATAAATTTAATATATAAATTAGGAACACTAAGAGATTAACAATAATAAAATAGAATAATTATAGCAATATAATGTAACAAAATTAATGTCAATGTAGTTTCTCATAAATATCTTTTTAAAAATATATATTTTATTGATATTTTACAGAGAGGAAGGGAGAGAGATAGAGAGCTAGAAACATCGATGAAAGAGAAACATCGACCAGCTGCCTCTTGCACACCCCCTACTGGGGATGTGCCCACAACCATGGTACATGCCCTTGACCGGAATTGAACCTGGGACCCCTCAGTCCACAGACCGAAGCTCTACCACTGAGCCAAACCGGCTTCGGCTCTCATAAATATCTTATTGTACTGTACTCAGTCTCCTCATGATGTGAAATGATAAAATGCCTACATGGTGGGATAAATTGAGGTGAATGATATAGACACTGTGTTGTAATATTAGGCTACTACTGACCTGATGATATGCAAGGAGATTCATCTGTTTGAGTGATCCTGGATCACTGTGCCATGACATGGATGCATATCAGAAGCAGATGATGCTGATGGTTGGGAATCTCCAATATTTGAAGTTTTTTTTCCTGAAACCTTTTGAAGAACATTGCAATCTGAAATTGTTGTCTTTTTATTTTAACTCATGGAAGTGTTGCTGTCCAGGTAATCCTTTGGTGATCATGTGGGTGACTTTAAGCTGAGTTTTATCTGAAGGTCATATTCCTTAATTTTGTTCTTTAATGCCTGCAATTAGAAACACTTCAGCAAATGCTAGTAATGTCCACATTGCTGGTTCTGTTTCAGTTTCTTCATCTTCCTTTTCCTCTGTAGATAACTCAACAAATTTTTCTGAATCCTCTTTTGTTAACACTTGATGGCCTTCAATATGTTCTTTTTTTTAATATATTTTATTGATTTTATACAGAGTGGAAGGGAGAGAGAGAGAGAGTTAGAAACATCGATGAGAGAGAGTCATCGATCAGCTGCTTCTTGCACACCCCCTATCGGGGATATGCCCGCAACCAAGGTACATGCCCTTGACCAGAATCGAACCCGGGACCCTTCAGTCCCCAAGCCGACGCTCTATCCATTGAGCCAAACCAGTCCTGGCCTTCAATATGTTCTTTAACTTCATAAAACATGTCAGCAAAATTTTCCCACCAACATGTCTTGCTGTGTGAATGCTTTTTCTGACTTCTCCATCAATCCCTGGAAGCCTTTATTTATTTTTAAATCATTATTGTTAAAAGTATTACATATGTCCCCTTCCCTCACCTTCATTCACAATTTCAGTCCATAAGTTCTTCCAGCAGGCATTTATAGTTTTCCACTTTAGTTCCTTCATTGCAGCTTTGGTGAATGTTACTCCATCAGCATTAGTAAATGAATTCTTGGACTGCATTATGTCCAGATTAAGGTATCCATCAATTACTGATTGAATGCAATCAAATATCAGGTGTGTGTTTATTGCCTTGACAAAAATGATACCCTGGTTAAAGGGGCTCAAGCAATGAGGTTTTATTTAGAGGTAAAACTAAAACTTTGACATTTTCCTTTTCATAAAAAACAGATTCAGGATGATCAGGTGAATTGCCTGCTATTGACAGGACTCTTTTATAAGTGTTTTTGTTTGTTTGTTTGTTTGTTTGTTTGTTTGTTTGTTTTACTGCTGAGATGAAATCTTGGTGGAACTATTGCATAAACAAGATAGTTGTCACTCATGTTTTCTGATTATGTTACTAGAACATAGGGAAATAATTTTTGGTTTTGTTTGTGAAAGCATATGTGTTGTTTATGTTTTGTGCCTGGCTTTATCATATGCCCTACAGTGTTGTCACATAGTGAATTAATCTGCCCTTCCATATTTTCCCCTATACAGAACAATGACTTTAATGATTGTTGGCATTAATTCCATGCCCCAATGTATATGACAGTGACCGAA